GAAAACCAGCTAAGGAATTCTACAAAAGTGCTGCTGCTACACTGAAATTCATCTGACTTCTTTCTGAGTAGAAAATTGAGGAGTATCGCATTTCTCAAATAGTCTGGGCTATCACATATCTGAAATCAGGTTTTTCACATAAGTTCACTAAAAGAATTATGAAATATCAGCAAAGTATATGCTGTAACTTATACCTTTGCTCCATCTGAGGAAGGCTGCTGAATCTGGCTCAAGGAATTGAATAGTCTGTGGCTTTCATTGTTCTGAATATCCACATGAATGTTAATTTGAGACATCACAAGATAAAATTTGGAGTTTGTGTCAAAATAAAATTATGCAGTCTGGAATTTGATAATTGGTATTTGTTACCTATCTTAACATCATCTTTTAGCCTCTTTTCTCAAATGTGTTAATAATGTAAAGGGATGTAAAGCTATTAATAATTAATCTCTGCCTCTCTGTTCCTTGCACATGCATATCTAACCAGTAGAACAGGGCAGAACTTTCAGGAGAGTTTTCCCTCATGAGATGATGCCTCTGGAATCATCTCATGAATTCAGAATGGGATGTTGCAGCCAAGGTCTGCCTTTCCTAACAAATACTTTCATTTAGGCTCTACCCTGTTATAGTCTTTATAGTGCTTTAATTGGTTCTGCTTGTAATCAACAAATCTGAGGATTTCTACTCTAAATGTGTAGAAATAACAGAAAAACATGGGTTACTCTTCCTTAAATTATTTCCAGTCCTGTATCTCAATAATACAAACAGAAATGGGAGGGATATCAAACCCAATGAATAATTTATAAAGTATCAAATCTATCCACATGCCAAACAGGCAAATCATCAAGAGGGAACATGAGTAAAGCCTAATGTATGCACCAGAGAACTGTGCAGTGCTGACATAGTTCAAAGATGCTCATATGCAACAATGAATTATGGTGAGGCTGATGTCTTGAAGATACTGTTTAACCAGGTTCCAAACCACCTTATAAAAATGTATTAAACAATAGGCTATATAAACAAAACTGTAAATCTCAAAATCCTTGATCAATTTAAGTTTTTGAAGGAAAAGTGCAATAATATTTTTGTAGTTTTCATTTTGCTTTTATTTTAAACCAAATAATTGCTTTTGTCAGTCAGATACAAGTCAGTTTCCCCAAATGGCTTTATAGTGTATTCTGTATATGGACCAAAAAAGCAACACGTCTCTTTCATTGCTCTTCATCGCTTCTGATTATTTCCTGTATAATTATTAATGCATACTTACTTATTTTTGCATAGAAAATAGTTATCATCTTTTAAAAAAGTTGTTTTAAAAATATTAAATCAGGATAAGTTAAAATTGATCACTGGAGATCAAATATAGTAAGCAAATTTCAGTTTCCTATTAAAAACAATTTCAACAATATCCATAAATACTCAAATTGTTACTAAAACCAGTGAACACATTTCAGGCCATTCAAAGCCATCTAAAATTACATGTGTTATTCCAGATAGAGACTAGGAGGAATGGGTAATTTAGTCATGCTAATTCTTGAGGTTGGAGAGGGAATTCAGCACTTTGGTATGAATGAAATTTCAGATACTAAGGGCTGATTCCTTATTTATCTTGTGCAGAGCCAGAGCCTTGCAGAGACTTTCTACTAGATTATGTAAATTGTTGTAGAAACCATCAGAAAGATCAATAAAAACGGGTTTGCTCATTGTACATTATATATCTTAATTAGTGTATGATCCAGCAGCCATTAATATCCTGTGATAAATTGTGCAGTCATTAAAACTTAAGCATGTAGAAGCTTGTTATATTTTTGTGGAAAGAAAATAATATTTTTATTAGGAAAACAAAACTTACTGACACACGGCACGGGAAAGTGATTTAACAGCATGGTAATAAAAGAATGTTTTTAAAGACCTTCTCCAGATCTCCCTGAAGCTGCTGATAGTCATTCCAGGACTGTGTGCACTGAAAGAACCATGCTAATGAGCAAAAAGTAGAATTTAGTTGTTTTGTTCACCACTGTGTCCATCTACCCAAAACAAAAACTGTGTTACCATTCACAGTCTCATTCATAATCTCATATCTCCACAGACAGGCTGTAAGTAGTGTGCTGAGTGGCTTCTGCTCAGTTTATTTTGTGTGTAATTGTACTGTTATTAGAGATTTTACCTAGTTCTCGTGAACGGCTTCCTTTCCATTATCCTTTATAACCTGTCAATATAGATGTAGCCAAAAAAAGACAGTTTGGGCCTCACTGCAATCCAGGCCATTACTGAAAAGCTGTGGTAGAACTGAGTCCAAGGCTTAGCAGCTCAAGGTTTAACCAAAGGAATTCTGCTGTAGATCAGTTTGGAAAAATTGTCCTCACATCCTTCATTTTACTATCTCAACCAAAAGTTTTGAGCATCCTCTCCGTAGTTAAAAAAAACAAACTAAAGAAAAGGAATTTTTAACTGTGTTGGAATTTTTATTCCAGTTAAAAACCCCTCAAGTGTTATTATACAATTGTTTGTTGCTTTTAGAAAAACTAGGAAAAGTTTCAGGCATTTCAGATTTTGCTATTAGCTGTTCAAGTTGGCGTAAATTCGTAAATTTTGCCTCTTCATGTATCTGAAAGATTTTAAGGTCTTGCAAACATGCTGTTTGGTCTAGAGGCCCTGGTTCTGAAGGGCTTTGTTGAGAGAACTGGTGTTGGCCTTAAGGATGTGATGTGCTTACCTCTCAGGTGGTGTTACATTAACATGTATTTGTAGCTCTCAAGTTGTGCAGAGAAAAGTATCTGAATTATTTCTCATGGTCTTCTGTTGCACAACTAAAATGAAATCTTAACCCATGTTTCTGTAAATGTTAGTTTAGCACTTAGAAAAATTACCCTGTAGTTTAAAGTAAAATGTGAAGATTGTGATATCAGATGAATTCCAGCTAAATGATGGTTTTCAGCAGATAATTTATGTTAGCTAAAGGGCCATTCTGTTCATTCTGCCTGTAGAACATTTGTTCAGTTTTAAATGATTACCTCTGTCAGCATTCACTGTTACAGTAGTATATGAAGATGATGTTAGAAGGGCCCTTCTTCATCTCCTGCCTTCAAATTCTCTTTGAAACACCATCCTTTTGCTTTACAGAATGAACTTAAGGAGTTGAACTTATCTTTCATATGAAATAAAGTAACATTACCAGTGTAAATTGAATTTTCTCTGTTGTTTTGAAACAAATCCAGATCATAAATTGAAATAATTCTCTGTTTGTGAGGGCTGTCCAAGATATGTGTCAATTGAGAGGGATGTATTTGGTAGGGCATAGTCTTTTTACTGGATGTCACTGAAATGACTGGAAGTTTTGTCAAAGATATGACAGCCTTGGTCAGTATCTTGGTTTATTTCTGCTATTTTACCTAAACCACTTATAATAAAAACTGAAATAGACACGTTCCATAAAAATTTTGCAAGTCTCAGGGAACATGTCTGAAAGACGGATTTTCAGATGGAATTCCTATGGAAAAGATAGCCTGGACAGAGACAAAAAAATCCATCATTGAACATGTGCTAACCTTGTAGGCTCATAAAATACTGGTGAATTTAACCTGTGCATGTCTAAGTAATGATACATAAGCTAGAATTTTAACAAATCCATCTCAAAAAATTAGATTCTCTCCTTTCTGAAAATTTCAAATACTTTTATTTTGTCAGGTCCCAAAGGACCTGTCAGGTGTTCTAGTCTGAAATCATAGACAATACTGGTATAGATTTTGAGGTTCTTCTGGTGTGCAACAGTGCACAGTGTTCTCTGTGGCTGCTAAATGTGTACTACTAAATACAGATTCTAGGAAGTGATAGGCCAGATCATGGTTTGGTCTCTTAGGAAAGGGTTCATTTTGTAAAATTGAAAATAGGCAGCTGCTCAAAGCTGATGGCTTCTTTTATATTCATGGGTGAAGATATAAATCTTCCATTTTGTCTTAGGTATATGATTTTTCAGGAAGAATCCTGGAGCTGCCTATATCTTTCTTTATTTCCTAGACAGAAACATGATTGATGTCAAGAAATAGTACCCCCAAGGCTTTTGGCACACAGTGAGAGAACAAATTGTGGAACATTATCTCATTCCCTGTAGCTTTTCACATTTTTATTTGTGTTCACTAAGCTGTCACATGGTTTTGAAAGGGCCATTTTATTTTTCAGTAAAGGAAATAATTCCCACCCTTGATGAAAATTATGGTAAAATCTAGAATAAACTCTTGGAAAAGGTCATCATTCTTAGCATTTTCTTTACAGAGACATAAATATTTACATTTCTTTTTTTTTTTTTTAGAGAATGTGCTACTTTCATGCTACTTGTCTAATATGCATTTTTAGGTAAAGCTCTTGAATCAGTGAGCAGTTATTTAGGCTCATAATTGAGATATGCTACTTTCATGCTACTTTTCTAATATTCATTTTTAGGTAAAGCTCTTGAATCAGTGAGCAGTTATTTAGGCTCATAATTGAGATACCATTACTATATACAGCAATAATTAACATTTTTTTAAAATTAAGTTCTTGTTAGAAAAGTTGTTTCATTATCTGAAGTGTTTTGGTTGAAGTTTTGGTTCCATTGGAATCAGTGGTCAGTTATAGTCAGTACCTGTTTCTTCTACACACTTGGCCATACATATACATATACATATACATATACAGATACATATACATATACATATACATATACATTTACATACAAATATACTTATAACATATGTATACACACATACTTGTTTTATTGCATTGAATTATGTGTAATATAGATAAGGATTTAATACAGAAATTTTTTATCCATATAAAATGTTTATATTTATAAAGTGTAAAGTCTGCAATACTGATCCATTACATTGTTGTAATTAAAATACTTGAGATAAAGTGAAATGTTTATATAGTGCAAAGTCTGCAATACTGATCCATTACATTGTTGTAATTAAAATACTTGAGATAAAGTTTTACATCGTTCCATACTTTTTTTTTCTTTTTAGCTTCCCCATGGGTAGATAAAAGTCGAACTCCTAACAAAATAGATCTGTATGATGTACGTAGAAGACCATGGTAAGCTTTCTTTTTAAAGGTTTAGTTTATATATATATATATGTATGTATATGTATGTATATGTATTTGCATCACTTTCTAGATATTACTGTAAAGTCTTTTTTTCTGTATGTTTTAATGGTACTTACTTTTAGATACTATTTTCTTTTTAAAACTTGTTAGTTTTTCAAAATGTAAAAAAATTTCAAATTACACTCCTTGTAATGCAATATCAATATAGTTTTTGTACTATTGGATTACATAGACTTTTCAAAGGAGGATAGCTATCAAATAGGTTAACAAAATAGATCTGTATGATGTACGTAGAAGACCATGGTAAGCTTTCTTTTTAAAGTTTTAGTTTTTATATATATATGTATGTATGTATATGTATGTATATGTATTTGCATCACTTACTTTCTAAGTGATATTACTGTAAAGTCTTTTTTTCTGTATGTTTTAATGGTACTTACTTTTAGATACTATTTTCTTTTTAAAACTTGTTAGTTTTTCAAAATGTAAAAAAATTTCAAATTACACTCCTTGTAATGCAATATCAATATAGTTTTTGTACTATTGGATTACATAGACTTTTCAAAGGAGGATAACTATCAAATAGGTTTAAGACAGTTAAAAACTCTGATTTTGTGCCAAAATCAATTTTAATCCTGAGTGTTAGACTGAACCATTCTTCCAGACTTTTGCAAATATTTCAAAATATGCCTCAGTGGTTTAGACCAGCAATAAAATCACTAGATGTGTAAAAGATGGGAGAGTGGTGGGATTACTTCTCATGATTTTTTTTATGTAACCCTCTCAAGACATAAAACACAATGATACTTGGACATAGTTGGACATATTTTTTTTCAAAAGACTTAAGTATTTCTGCCTAAAGTGGTTGATACTTGGATATAATTGGACATATTTTTTTCAAAAGACTTAAGTATTTCTGCCTAAAGTGGGCTGAGTCATTAAATTAATGTCATCAAGATCTGTAGCTATGAAGTAGCTGTCCTGTTTTTCAGTTGTGTGAAAACAGTGAATTTTGATTAGTATATCCTACGTCCAAACTACGGTAATGTGGTTTGGACTTAGATTTACCTAGGAGACAGAGCAAGAGAGGAAATAACACACACATGGGTTAAAAAACAACATATGGGTTTTGTACTAGCTACAACAGGAGGACTTCATTGGTTCAGTTACTTTGAGTTTAGAGATTACAGAGTGTCTTCCATCACACAGAAAAAAATGTTTATGCAAATTTGTGTAATTCATATAATTTATTTATTTATTTCAGGTATATCCAGGGAGCAGCATCTCCTAAAGACATGCTTATTTTAGTGGATGCGTAAGTGTTTAATGTCTGAATATTGACATTAGTGGGGTAAAAGTACTTTGGTACATTGCAGGTATATCCAAGGAGCAGCATCTCCTAAAGATATGCTTATTTTAGTGGATGCGTAAGTGTTTAATGTCTGAATATTGACATTAGTGGGGTAAAAGTACTTTGGTACATTGAACAAATCTCTGTATGCTGAAAAATAGAGAGGCAGTTAAGGGGTCTTGTATGCAAGCTTCAAAAATCTTGGTATGAGCAAAATAAATACGTAATAGAAAATAGTTCCAAAAAGCCCAAACAAAACATGAAAGTTTTTTTAAACTGGACGCAAGGAAATGTTTATTTATATCACTTCATATTTTTTTTTGTTTGTTTTCAACTTATTGATTAATGCAGCAATCAAGTGAATATGTCTCATGTGCATGCCAAGTTTTGTTGTAAAGCACAAACCTAATAACAAATGACTAGAAGCATTATGGTAGATGTGACAATGATTTAATTCACATGAAAGATAAGTATGTGTGCGGACTTTGTGTGTTTTACAATACAGATTTTAAAATTGCCACATTATGTTAGTATAAAAAATTGCTAGAAAGCAAGCAAAGAAACGAATAAAAGCTTGCTCTCTGCCTCGGCAAGGCTTCTGTGGTGTAGGCAATGTTGAGGGACTGAAGGGAGCATTGAACCTGATGTGTCAGATTGCTTTATGCTGAAAAGGTTCTCAGGCATAGAATTTGCATTTAATGCTTTTACACATGGTGAAGTGCTTTCATATCAGCAGTGAGTTTTATCAACATTTGTTATTTCTTCACTTCAGCTTAGGTTTTGCCTTGAATCAAAGAAGCTGTCATTTGTGTTTCTGGAAATCCAGAGCTGTAAATTTGAGTGTAGGAGTATAAAATGTTTAGATAATGCATTGGTTGAAGGTGTTATACTCAGATTTCTTGAAAAGGAAATGAGTAAAGGATGTTGCATTATGATGTCATCTAAGGCAAAGGACTGGGACTTTGTGTGCCAGTTTTGGACTTTAATAATTATAAATAGTTTAATAACACTAATGATGAGTTGGAGAATTCAGGAATAAATGGAATATTTTAATGTTAAAGTGGGTGCTCTGTATTTTCTCTTTATGTTTTACATAATATTTGCTCAATTCAACCTTTCTACTGTGAATTTTTTTAGGAGTGGGAGTGTCAGTGGGTTGACATTGAAGCTGATCCGTACGTCGGTCATTGAGATGTTGGAGACCTTGTCTGACGATGACTTTGTGAATGTAGTTTCAGTGAGTATCTGTTCTTTCCACGGAATTTGCATTGCCAGCAAAGCCAAAAGCAAACTATTTTTAATACCAGATACGAGATACTTGAATGTTGAGCTGCAAAGAGTCTTAAAATATATTGTATTTGTGTTCTTATGAAATAAAATGTATGTCCTAGATTTGATATTCCATATTCATTTGAGTGAAGGGCAAAAGTAATTTAAATAAACTCCTGCATAGCCAGATTTTCCTTTCCAATATTAGCCTACTGTCTGTATAAAACCCCTTCCATTAGATTGGTGTATGCAAATTCTCTTGAAATAATTGCTGGTTCCCAGATTTTCTACATAGAAGATATTTGGATTGCTCATGTTGTTTGATGCATAATGACAGTACATGTGGAGCCATATATCTGACCTGACCAAGAAATGTTTTTGAGAAGTTCTACAGTTCTTTGCCACTTGATAAGTGGCAAAACAATTTTTTCTCATAATAAATAATAAAATAGAGGGAATAATCTATCAGGAAGGTATGGAAAATTTTCCTTTTTCAGGAGAATACCTTGGCTATCATGTTCTTGTCTTGGGAAAAGCTTTATTTTTATTTTTTTTAATTATTATTATTAAGTTGTTCAGCTGTAGAGTTGTGATTCTATGGGTTTAAGATGAGGACACTGGCATATTCTTAAAAACAAGAGAGAGCCTCAATGATGAGTAACTGGAATGATTTTGGAGATAATTTTCAACTTGAAGATTCCTGTTGTAGCCAGCCTGAGGGAGAAAGACCTGAAATTTAACTGAAATAAATATTTTTTAAAACTAATTATTGCTTCATGTTTTCAGACACTCTAGCTCAAACTTTCTGCACGGAGTAGATAAGTGTTTATTCTCAATAGTATTTCGTTTGTTAAAGTTTTGGATAGTGGATAAGACCATCTTCCTTGGTGTAAATTGTAGTGAAAAAAACCCAACAAAAACCCTGATTTTTTTTTAATATTGTTATTAAAGGAAATAAGCTTCTCTGTAATGTTATTGGGGAGCTGAAATCTTCTTAGTTTAACCAATTAAAAATACATAAATAAAAAAAAAAACTTGCAATCTAAACTGATTGAAATTGATTTCTGTGTTCAGCAGAGCTATGATAGCTTTCACTGCTGGAAAATCTGGACCCCTACAACCTCTTGATTTACACATATTTCCAAACTCTTTTGTTACATTTGCTCCAAGATCACCAGAAATAGTGTAGCTTAATGCTAAGCCTCCCGTAGGCTATGAGTCTTTTATTAGCTAAGGGTCACTATTATTCTAATGAGGCCTCAAGGTTGGGATTTGTGTCACAAAAGGACCAGAAACCCTCAATATTTTCTACAGCATATTTTCCCAGGGGTTTGTTACTTACAATATATAAGGACCATTTTTTTTTGTTTGAATGAACTTTAGAAGTTCACACCAGAAATTTGATTGCAGAACCAAAGAGGACATTTTGGTCATATTGTTTTCATCATCAGTGGAGGGCAACAACCACAGAAATGTGCATAATAGAGCATGGTATCTCTAAATCTTTCATAAAGTGCTATTTGATGTTGTTCCCTTAAAATTTAAAATTAAAACTTTATTAAAACTTTTCAGCATTGTAATTACTTTGGTATAATCTATGTTGTCATGTATTCAGATGATTTATGAATGGGATTGTGGTGGAAGAGTTAAAAAATATGTATATTTTATTTCTTTAATAGACAGGAAATAATAAGCTATAGATAGGAAACAAATGGATGTACTACTATAAGGCATTCTATACGTGAATGAAGTGAATACAAAAGTTTGGTCTTTCAAGATTTTTTTTAAAGATTTCTTAAAGATTTGGCAGAATCAGTTTAACACTTGGACTAGATAATCTTTCAAGTAGTTTTCAACATAAACAATTCTACGATTCTATCATCTTGATTCACAAAATATTCCATAATGGAATAGGTTTATCTAAAGTCCAACTCCAGTGCTTTCTTAGTAAACTCAACAGGCAAAAAACCAAATTAAATATTTTTTTCTGGATGAAATAAATGCAGATTTATTCAATATTTTCTGAAAATTTATTCAATATATTGCACATTTTTTGCTTAAGAACATTTTCTCCTGAAGCATCCCAATATTAGATGTGATAGGCTAATCAAAAAGTCCAAAAAGCTAGGTGAAAATGTTAAGATAATACAGCATTAGCATATGGATACATGAACACTAACACTAACTAGAAGTTATCCACAATTTTTCTTTCCCTCATGGATCTTTTTGGCCTAAAATGTGACAGTTGTTTTATGGCTTGTTAGCTTTAATAACCATGGAGTCTTTGGTCTGGGGTTTTGAGTTAACTAGAGAGCTTTTTCATTGCTAACCTCTGCCAAGATGTTGTCCCACGAAGCCCATATGCACGATGATTCATGCCCACAACTGAAAGACATGGATTTAAGCTTATGTCAATCACTTCTTAAAAGTGACAGGATGATTTAATGAACTGTGCCTTTTATATGAGGAAATCCTAGGGAAAAAAAAAAGCTTAAAAGTAGATGTGCTATAGCTTTACTGAATAAGCTTTACAGAATAAGCATAGTTCCTGCATTTATTTCCAGGGAAAGAAAGGTTCAATGAGCAGTTAAGTTGTAAAAAGATATCCAGGGGTTAATATATCATGGTTTCTTTTGGGATTTGCATGTTTCTTATCTGAAGTGCTGTGCTTTGTTGCAGGGAGAAAACCTGCTGTTTGCAAGGGCTTAAATGTATGAGTAATACAGCTGTTTTCCCACTAATCCGGTTAGAGGCTTTGATAGCAGCGAGCAGTAGATGATAGGGGCAGCAATTCCATCCCAGCACGTCGTGATTTAGTAGCTTGGTTTCAGATGTTGACACAGAGAGTGTAATTTGTTTGTGATTGTGGGTAGTGTTCAGGAGAAATGTATTTCAAATCTGCAGAGGTGCAGAAAAACCACACAAAGGAGAAATCTCTGTTACAGCAACAGATGTGTTAAAGGTCAGGAGCTGCTGTACTTTTTAAATTCACTTAGCCTTTGTAAAAATCCAAACTAGTATTTACTGCTTAGGAACTGGAAATTAAATGTCAAGAGCATATGAGATAGAACAGAATCATATTCTGGGAAAATTGAAAGCTCATCTCCTGCTCTTGTGCAGTTCTGCACATTGAGTAAACTCAGAGGGATGGTGATTTCTACATGAGTTGATTTCAAAGCAAAAACTGCGCACCCAGCCTATGAAATTATTGTTTGGGATGAAAAATAAATCTGTGGATGATGCACCTCTTTTCCCACTGATTTTTAATAGCAGTTTTTCATGGAATTCCACAGTTCAGTGCTTGCAAACCTGTTTACTTTGTGTCTCTTACTCCTAAACTGGTAAAATCTTTATGCCTTCCTAATTAAAATATTTTAATATGCTAACAGAGGGAAAATAAAGTTTTTTAGAAGTTTTGGCAATACATCCAAGGGCTGCTTTCTACTTCTGCTACATGATCTATCCTGTATTCTGCAGCTAATATTCCACCTATGTTATCTTAAACACAGGGAGGTGTTCCTTCCTTCTGGGAACTACTTTCTTAAGTTTATTATAAAAATTAAATAACATGCGATGGGTGAAAACCTTAGCCTGAAGTCCTAATGGAGGGAGGAGGATGCTAGATTCTAGATCCAGGTAGCATGTCATTCTTATACTATCTTTGCTAGAAATTTTAGCTTTGTAAAAGTGTACTTCAGTTGGCAAAAACTTGAAGAATTTAATTCAAAAATAACTTAAACATTGTTTCCTTTATTATTTCAATGTAATGTTTTTACTGGACCTGAAATTAAATTGCATACTCAAGTGGTATGAAAGGGGTTTTTACTGTGTTTTTTGAATTTTGACCCAGAAAAGTTCAGTGGTGCTTAGTTTTTGCAAACATCACTACTTGAGGGAGAAAATAAACATGACCATGGTATCAGTGGAACTGAAGTATTTCTATTGGTGGATCTAGAAGAAATGAGGAAAAAACTCTTGTATGAAGGGTTCTGCCATGTACTTTGGTTCTTAATTTCTCATTTTCCTTAATGTACAATGCTAAGGAGAAAATATGAAGATGCCTGCCATCTTTTTCATCATTTAACAAATAAAAAACTAGATAGAGAATCAGGCTCCCGCTACAATAAGTATGTCTGCATAAGAATCAGTCTTAGTAATTTAATCCTGAAGCGTTTCAGGTAATGAATCACAATAGCTGCAGCATCATAGCTGTGTGAGGCAGTAAACAAATACATCTAATTCCTTTTTTTTGCAGGGGATATGGTTTGGTGTTTTTTCCTAGTCAGTGAAAAGTGATAGAAAGGCAAGTTTAAGTCTGAGAGTTGAGCTTCTTGATTCTCTTAACAGCAATCTATCTAACTGACCTTTCAGTTTCTCTTCAATTGAATGGTTCATTTTCAAGAAAAGGGGAGCAATGATAGCTGCAGATAAACACATCTTAGTAGCAATGTTCCTTAATGGAAAATCATTAGCATTCCTTAATGGTAGGTCATTATCTTGCATCTTCCATATTCAAGGAGAAAGTGAATTTAATGTGGTTTTTTCACACAGGTATATTTAATAAGCACTGCAGGTGCAGGGTGAAAAAAAATCTTAAAGAAGTTATGATCAAAATCCAGTATTCAATTTCTACCTTGCTAATAATTACAGGTAGAGAAAGGTTATGTATCCATAGAAATAAATGTAGGGGAAATATATCTGGAGGACAGGTTTAGCAAATGTAATGAAGGCGAGTATTCTGCAAATAAAATTTTAAAAAATTTGGAAATTATGGAAACCAAGGGATTATTAAGAAGTTGGAAAAAGCTTTCTTTTTAGCAGCAGGAATTACAGTAGTATAAACAGTGTCATGGAATATTTATCTGCTTGTAGACTTATGTTTCTTTTTACCTTCTCTCTAAAAGGAAAGTCAAGAAAGGAGTCAGTGAAAATCTGTTAGAAGTCTTCCAGGGAGAATGCTGAGAGGGC